GTGTAGAAAATTAATACCATTTGTTTTGAATAGCAGTAGACTTGAAAGCAGTTTTAAAATCTTGTTTTAATGTTTTCATGAGATGTAAACATTATAATTGATGTTATGATCATTCTGCCTGTAGGCTTATTTATAAAAGATATTTCTTTTTTAACTGTAATAATTATATTACAGAATAATAATTACAAATAGTGTGTCCACTAATGATAAAATTCCTGATCATGAGATTTCATATTCTAAACCAGTGTGGTAATAAATTATTTGATTTAAACTGTTATCTTCATTTATCTGTTGATGTTTTTTCAAACAATCACAAACTATTATTGCAAAATAAATATTAAATTTTTTTGAAAATATTTAAGTACTATGAAATTATTAGGTTACAGTGACTTCAAACATAGTGTTCTAAAGAAAACATTGTGTTAAACATAATTTATTATTATGCTTTATAATTTAATATTTAACGGTTAAAGTAATAATAATTTTTATTGTTACAATTATATTTTTCAGGTATTTCTGAAAAACAAAAAAATTCCTTTGATTGAGATTCAAAGTGGCCTTAATTTAAAGAAAACTACCAGAGGAGTAAACAAAACAATTAATGAAATTATAAGGAAACGATCTAATATTTTCGCAAATGTATACAGAATTTCATTGGAAAGTGCCAAGTCTTTACTTCAGGTTGGGTACAAAACACTGAGCTACTTTCATCGGTGGTGCCCTGTTCAGGTAAGGCATTATTATCAGTGACAACAACAATGTAACACTTTTTAACAGACATTGGTTCAAATGATTATTTAAATATTCCTGTTGATTTTCAAGTGAATCTGTTCAGCCAATCCCAAGATCCACCATGCTTCTTTGATCTTCCCCCATTTAAGAGGTTCAGTATGAACATTTTGGAAATCTGAAAATTGACATTTGTTTCGAATATTAGAAAAAAGTATTTGTGATAATGGCATAACATAATGACTAGAATTTTGTTAAAAGTTCAGGAAACAATTTGGGTGAAATTCTCAATAATGATACCTAGAAGTACTATGTGGTTGGATTCCTTTTCATTCCAGATATTATTATGGCTTCCAAAAACTGCAGAATCATGAGTTCTTAGCAGTAAATGAAATTTATATGTGATCTTAGACTATTTTATTACTCATTTAATGGTTACTTTTTACATCATGACTGGAAGTATTTTTAACAAAACATTCATAACTTCCCTGATATGTCATAATGCAATATCATAACACAATGTCATAATGCAATATCATAACACAATACCATAACACAATATCATAACTCAATACCATAACACAATGTCATAACACAATATCATAACACAATGTCATAACAGAATTACTTTGATGCATTCTTGCAATGCTAATGTCATCCCAACCATTTGGAGTGTCAAAAGAAACAGAAAATTAATAATATACAATCATGACTAACAGAAACAAAAAATCTCAGTAATGCTGGGACTTAAAAGTAGTATGATGGTGCACAACCTTCACACCCTGTATATACTCTCCTTTTTTTGTCTGAGTAAACCATCTTTAACATGGTAACTTAAAAAAAAGTGTTCACAATTATTTTCAATCATAATGTAATGTTCCATCATACTTAACATTCTTATAAGAAAAGTAGAAAAGTAGGTAATATAAACTATATGAATTATGAGTGGTAATGATTATAAAATTTAAATTGATGAAATAGAGAAGTTAGAAACCAGTACAGAGTTAGGAGTATCCTCCTGACACTAAAGAGTTTTAGAAGTAACAAAACAGTAGCTCTACCATTAATGAGAACTTCAGAGCTCAAAAAAAATTCAATGATATAATATGCTAATTAGAGTAGAGTTGATTGTTCGTTGGTGATTGTGTATGTTACTGTTACTGTGATTAGTTACTTTAGTGTTGTAAATTTTATTTTGTGTTTTTGATGAAGTACTATAGATACAAGAAAATTAGCAATTAAGTGACTGTTTAGCATTATTTGTGAAGTAATCCCTATTGTTAATTATGTGGAACTTTTAGAAAATGTACTTGTAGTAGAAGAAATAAAATGTTTTTGTTTTTATTAACGCTTTCAAGATGGGTTACGGGTGAAAGTCCATGTTATCTCGTTTGTTGACTCGCATTCAAAATTTTATTGAACTACTATTTCATGAATTTATGTCAATAACTTTGGTATCAAACTGGAGATTATAATTCAAATTTTAGAACAATACTCAATTTCTTAATTCAAAAGCAAATATTAAAAAAACACAGATAAACATTGATTTTTGTGTGTCATGTGGTATGTTGAATGCAGTACTGGTTCAAATGAGATGTTTGTGAGTTAAAATACTAAGTCTATAGTTTCGTATGAATTAGAAACTCAAATTACCAATATTGACAAGTTAGAATATAGAATAAGAGCCACTTATCTTTTCAGTTTGCTAAGATA